CAGCGCTCGATGTCTCGAAACGATCGCCGTCTAAATTAATTTTATATAACGATCGGAAGCTAAAGAAATTCATCATCGCTACTGTATTCAAGCAACTCGCTTTTTCTTGTAACTTACTTTTTGGCACGATGTGTGACACGATGATTGTACAATAGAGCACGTACGATTAAATAGAATTTATATTATTACTGAAATATTGTCTGGGAGGAATTTTAACCTCTTGCGCTGGTAACTGGTTTCGCGGACCATAACGAGTGACCAAACCGTATACAATAATCCGTCGCTTTCTTTTTCTTTTGAACTCGCCGGCACGATATCGTTGGATAGAAATTATTGAGAAGTAATAAATTTATTTGTTTTGTTTTATTTAAATATACTTGAAACTGAGAAAATATTACAATTTTAGAACAAAAAATTCTCGACGTGCGTGGCAGGTCGTTCCAGCGCAATAGGTTAACCACTTGCGCTAGCAATTGATTGCGGACCATAACGAGTGACCAAACCGTATACAATAATTCGTCGGTTTCTTTTTGTACTAAAAAAGCCGGTATGATGTCACTGGATAGAAATTATTGAAAAGTAATAAATTTATTATTTGCTTTTTGCCTGAGTTATACTTACATATACGTAAAACTGAGAAAATATTGCCATTTTTGGGACAAACAATTCTCGACGTGCGTGGCAGGTTAACCACTTGCGACTGATTGCGGACCATAACGAGTGACCAAGCCGTATACAATAATCCGTCGCTTTCTTTTTCTTTCGAACTCGTCGATACGATGTCACTGGATAGAAATAATTAAAGAAGTAATAAACTGATCATTTGTTTTGCCCAGGTTACATTCAAATATATTTAAAACTGAGAAAATATTGCAATTTTTGGGCCAAATGTTCTCGACGTGCGTCGCACGTCATTCCAGCGCAAGAGGGTTAACATCGTGTCGAAGTGCAACGCTAAACACTGCCTGTGCAAAGGGTTAAATTTATAATCGTCGAGGCGTCACCCCGACTGGAAGAGCGTCGTCCATCGATTCCTCGGGCTCGTTGACAGTGTCGGAGGATCGAGTTGCCGAGCGCTTTTGTGCGAAGGTCGAAAGAAGGGAAGGAGAGCCGGGACAAAAGGACTAGTAGAGGCTAGAAACTAGCGGTGGTTGCCGCTTTGGTAATCCAAGGAGACAATGCCGGGCCGTAACGCGATCCGACGCTGCCGTACTTTGGTTACACAGGGTATAAACTTAACCATCGGGGGCACGTACGCTGTTGCTTAATTGCGACTGCAATGCCGTAACGTGGCTCGCTCGCCTCGAACTCGATTAGCCCTCGCCGCGGGTTTCAACCATGTCCGGTTGAACCGGGCCGGTGTAATTGCTCCGCGGATGAGCTCCGCGATCGAGGAAACTGTACCGAGGACGGAGCTACTTTCAGAGCTGGTGAACGTTTCGCTTGCCTGTCTCGTTCGTTCTGTTTCGCGCTGTCTCTCGTTCTGCGAGAGTTTTGGTCGTGCAATTTAACACTGTGTCGTCCGGTGACAGCGACACAGGTTTTGCTGTCGCGTGCAAAGCTGTCGGACAAACGCCGAAACAAGCATCGTTTGTGTTGTGTGTAAGACTCGGCTCGTAATCATGTTAGCAGATGTTCCTAATTAGGTCTAACTTTTTAACGAAACGAGTGAAATTGAGCCCTTCTTCGACGAGCCTCAACCAAGTTGCCAAGTCACAGAAGATAACGAAGATTGAGTGTTTCGATTTACCGATGAATGACAATGACCTCGGAGAGTCGGACGTATTGTAAAGATGAACAAAGATGGAAGATGTCGCAGATTTATTTGAATTCGTCGGCATGGAGACTCCAGTTTCAACATTAATTCAGAAACAAAATTTCAATAAGAAATGTGCAATGTAAAAATGATGCCAAGCGTTTTTTTAACCACAGGATTAAAAACTATTGGTACTTTATCAAGATGTACTGTAACATTTACTATCTCTCAAAAAACGCGAGAGCGCAGGATCTGTCGAGGTTTATTCCTTTTAATTAAGAAATATTACAAAGTTTATAATATCAACGCAACAACTATTATTTATTTCATTGACACATAACGATATTTCTAATATATTACCATTAATAATTACCATTTTTTTTTACCACTTTTTAGCTTTTCACTTAGCAAATTTTAGCAAAACTAAAGAAATTCCCGGAAATTAATTCAAAACCAATTTGATCACCGAAGAATAAATTTTCTTTACAATTTATTATGAAATTCGTTTCAATTCGTATTCCTAGTAGTTTATATGTAAGGGTCGCGATGATATTTGCTGGGATAAAGGGGGAAAAAGTTCGAGAAGTCCCGATCTGTACTCCACTTCTAACAATGTCATTGATCCCAGTTAAGGAAAGCGAGCCGGACATTGCGTTACACGAATAGAGAGCGCAGTGTCTTATCGGACACTGGGCTAGGTCCATCCTTTGCTCTTCCTACGTTGAGTCGCATGACTCAACCTCCTTGTACGGTCAGCGAGAATAACGCTAACGCACCGCACAGGAAATGCATGCATCGTGGTCTTCTTTCCTCGTCACACGTGCCACGCCTTTCCTCCTTCCTCTTCTTCCCTCCCAGCTATTCATCAAACTGAAACGTCGAGCTTTTGTATTAGTTGTTGTACCTACAAGTTGGAACATCTATCGACTAATCACTTGTAAATATATATATATATATATTTATCTCAAACTTCCAAGAAGCTTGCCAACTATATCCCAACAAAGTTCATATCTTAACGAAGTTTATTAATTACCCTTTGCGAGATACTCGTAGTTCGAACCGTGAAAGGAGCCGACGAAGTTTCATTAATCGGCGCGTCTTGAGAGTCTTCCTGTTCCTCCCTGGTATCCGGTCTCCGGAACACGCGGCTGTTAGTTCTGAAGTGTCAAAAGTTGATGGAATAAACGAGAACCGGATCGCGGATGAAAGTTTCGTCGTCCGACAGAGGAGCGTACGGAAATGTAATATCTCGAGTTAGCTCGCTCGGGGGTTGTCAGGTGTCTGAGAGGGTGTTTAGCGTGTGACATTCTCGTTTCGTCGAATTTTCAGGAAAGATTCGCCCCTCCTTCGCGCGTGAGAAATATTCGGTTAGGCTTGATATTCACTTTTCAATGATACGAACCAGAGACTGAAAACCGAAATATTTTTAGGTTTAGGTATTACATCCAGAGACTGAAACCGAAATATTGTGAGGTTTAGGTATTTGCTCCCATGTTATCGTAATATAACCGCTATTTGGGAAATCGGTTTTAATACCGGTATAAGACGGTCGTACCGATATTTTCATACGTATTTTATCGGTATTTGATGTCCTAGAAATACCGAAATACCGCTTTACTGACGAAAAACGCAGTTTTCATTTTCTACTTGCCAGTGACTCTTTAGTTATATTCGGACATCATGCTATTCAAAATATTGTTGTGGATTTCGACATTTGTTTATAATAGTAAATCTGGATTAATTTTTTAATAATATAACAGAACATTCATTATAGTTTATAGTAACATAAGTCTTGTTCGTTTGTTGCACATACTTTTTTTTAATATCAAACAATAAACTGAACTGTGTCAAAGTTGAAAAGAAAAGGAAAGCGGTCTGGTCACTCGTTATGGTCCGCAATCAGTTGCCAGCGCGAGTGATTGAACATCTGCTTTCGATCTCAATCGTGGACGCTCAAGAGAGCATTGCTGTATGATTTTTCCACGATCTCCGCGAAGAGTGTCTCGGTAAGAAAAATTCCGACACCGATGCGTCGAGATGAGCGATAAGAGGCGCGACAGAGACGTTCCCGTGCGCGCTTTCTAAACGCCGTGACGAACGGACGGGGGAGAACCGAACAAAAGGACACCATCCGCGAGTGACAATGCAAAGTCGAAACTGTTTCTCGTGGCGCGATGGGAACGGGTACGAAATTCAATCGAATCGCACACCTCCCCTTCCGCCAACCAGAAACGTGTGCGCGTTTCCCAGATATGTTTTGCGGCTCCCTTATCTGCTGCAGGCGCTCTCTCGCTTCGAACGAACGCTGATGTTTCGTTCGCGTGAATGAGACCCGGTGTAAATCAACACTGGGACAACCGACGACCGAAAGTATAATATTCGTGGCAAAGAAATTATAACGCAAGATACGAGAAAATTAATAGTTAATGGTACAATGAAGAACACAAGCTTCTATCAGTGTCAATGTTATAATTATAATTAATTAAATATAAATAAATAAATATAACTTTTTTCTATCGACGTTAATATTAATATTAATATCGGTAAGAATCATTCGAGTGTCTAAAAAAATATACTGTTGTTAGAATTATGTGAAATTTCTCATAGGAAATTATAAACTGGTTATTTACACTCGCAGAAGAGAACAAACTGATGTCCGAAAATGTTTCGTATTTCACTTTGAAATGATAATAAATTCACGATGCAACAAAATGAACAGCCACAAAAATTTCACATTTGTTGTTTGTTGCTCAAATCTTTGTATTTACGATATTTATCATCTTACAAATTACGTGTATCATGTAATATACAGTTACGTAAGATTATTTATAAATAAAAAATAATAATTGCATATTCTGCCAGCATTTTAAACATGGGTTTGGTTAAAATAAACGAATTACTGTATTTACAAATGGAACGTGCAATTATTATTTCTTTGTTACTTATGTACAACCTTGAGTAATTGTATATAATTTGTTTGCTTGCAATTTTTCGCTTGATTCTATCTCCTTGCCCCAGTTTTGTTTCACGAATGTCGCGCCAATGTTTCGCCGCGGCTTTTTCTTTTCATACTATACATAGTATAGTGTCCGTGTGTGTACCTCCTTTCATCTCGCGTTTTCGCTCGAGTAAACGTTTTCTGCGTTTCCTCGGGTTGCCGCTACTAGCGATTTTTGCTTGATTCAATCGCTCTAATTGCGCCGCACAAGGTAACCTTGTTGAAATGATTGTGATGTTTGTATAGCGCCGTTGCTAAGAAGGGTTTCCACCCTTCCAAGAAGAGGGTTGCATCAGAGACATACTTTGGATCCCGAATTGTCCTCGTTAAGCGAACACGATACCAATCGTCTTGTCGTGGAGTGTAAGTGGGACATTAAGAACACTAGTTTCTCTTTTTCTTTATCTTTTCTTTTCTTTTTTTTTTTAATTATAAGTATGACACTAGGGTATCCAATCCTTCCACCCTGTATAGTCTTGTACTGATCCGATAATAAGATTGTAATTCATTTAAATTACGACTTAAGTACCATTCGCCCTGTTCTCTCTCCCTATAGTGCATTTCTTCATTTCTTTACTGTGCAAGTGTAAGTTGGCTGAATTGCGTAACGAGTCGTGAGAAGTTGAGTTTAACGAAAAGCATGCGAAATGTAGTTGAGGATGTACCTCCGTTCCTGTAACTGTTACACTTTGAACGTAGAAAAATTGAAATTAGTCGTAATCCAATTCCGATCGAGAGGACACACTGGTCACGTGACTGAGAAAATTTTCCGCATCCCCCGGTAATCTGTTTGGAGGACCAACCGGAGCGTGTCCTTGCGCCTGTCCTTCCGCGATTACCCCCGCTCCCAATCAAAAAGTCCAAAAGCGACTTCTTCCCGAAATCGACAAACAACGTCTCGACCCACTTTCCCGCGTTCTACATCGTGTTTCAAATCCAAACAAACAAGAGAAAGAAAAAAGCAACAGCTCCTAGAAACCAAATGGTAGAGCCGAAATCCCGACTCTCCGCCCACGCGTGTTCACCTAATTTCATCGCGTCGAAAGTTTCGACTCGAGCGAGACGATAGGAAAGAACCTTCGAACGAAAGAGACAGAAGGATCCTCTCTCTTCTTCTCCCTGTGTTTTCCCCCGATTTTCCTTGGTCCGCGCGCAGTTTTTCGGCTGTTTACGCGAGAAGGTGGCGCGTTTGGATACCGGCCAGCGATATTTTTACGCGATCGCCGATTGGCGGAAACTGGCGCAACGGAACCGCAATACGGTCCGATCCGAGAAGATTCCCGGGAATGTGGGATTTTCACGCGACGCGGCATTCGTATTCCCAGTCGCTGAACGTCGACGACTGACCCATATTCCCCGGTCGTTTCAACGTCGACGTCGGCGCAACCTTGCTTCTCGCTGACGTTCCTCTGGCGTAATATCCGAGACAACTTTTCCACGGGTAGGTACTCTTTTTTTTTTTCTTCTTTTTTTTGACCGAGCTCGCCGTTGGCCTGATTCCTGACGGATTCGGATAATCTGTCTTGACAGGAAAACGGCAACCAATGGCCAATTTGATCCTCGTTGAATTAACGTGTTGCAGTAAATCAGAAAGTAGTGTTATATATACATCCTGTGGTGCGTTTGAAGGATTCAGAGGAAGTTTCTTCCTAAAAGTGGTATGGTATAGAGTATTTTAAAAATAGCATGGAGTATTTTTCGAAAAATAAAAACAACGAGATCCGTTCTTCAATTAATCCTTTCGCTACTTTTTCGACAGACTGTGACACACCATAATGATTTACCATTGAGAACGATGAAATTTTTTGGTATATTAAAGTATATTGAAATACTCAACACATTGAATTGCAGTACACTAAACAAATGTTATTTATTTACTCGTGTTCTCTTTTGAATTTTTAGTGTGTTAAAAATATATAGTAAATTTAAAATAAGCGAACATGTTAAAAACAGTAACTTTACGCCTCATTTCATAATTATATTTAATAATCGACTAAAGTATAGTACAATTCGAAACATCGGTTCCTTTATGTTTTCTACACACTACGCATTTGCGTTTTCTTTTTGTGATTAATTTATTAGCATACCTTCTCATTTTGAAGTCCAGTTCATTAAATGAAATAGCTGTAAAATAATTGATCATAAACGTTCAAATAATATATGACTAATAGAAAGTGTAATTGTTGAATTAGAATTCACTTACGTCTGATCCAACATGAAGTTTGCTACAATTATTGTCAATAACATTTACGTAAAATGATGTAGATAATAATGCATGAAATAACTGTGAAATAATTACGTTTAAATAATATGTCACTAATAGAAGATGTAACTGTTGAGTTAGAATTCACTTGCGTCTGATCCAAGTGAGAACTGTAGACGCCTTCAGTTTGATTCGAGCAACGTGAAGTGAGGCCTCCATAGGCACCTCTCACGGGGATTTCAAGGGACTGAAGTAAGTTAAGCGCCTATGGGTGCCAATAGTACCTGGAAAGGAAATTTTAAAGACGTCTTTAAGCGTTCTGGATCAGAACATGCTAGTCAGACAAGTAGACGACAGTTACCACAGCCATAAATTCACTCCAACATTTGGCAAGGGATTTTATTGACGGTCAATGCAATAGGCGACTTTTCCAATTTCCTTGTCGTCCCTTCTAATTGCACTTTCTCCTGCATCGAAGAAGGGACTGGGACATGGATCGGCATGAGCAAACCAAAGAAAAGAGCCTCTAAGAGACACTTTTGCCCGAGGTAGTCTGGTACTGCCGCCTATATAAATACAGGCACGTAGCTCATCTCATTCCCTGAAAGTCACAGATAAAGTGTTGAGCGATAAACACTCCATCCCATAGACCAATACGGCCAATTACCTAGGAATAACACTAGACAATAAACTCATATGGGTTGAAAAGCCATTGAAAAAAGAACTACTCTCGCCTACCCAGCATTATCCAGGATATACTCTCTCATAACCGGAAATAGCAAACTCAAGAAAAACATCTTACTGTACCCAACATGCATAAGACCAATAATTACTTATGGATATCAAGTCTGGGCCTCTGCTGCCAAAGCACACATCAACAAAATACAAATGATACAAAACAAATTCCTTAGAATTATTCTTAGTAAACAGAGAAACACAATCGTAGCACAGCTCCATCAATTAGCCAAGCAGTATATTTCAAAACTCACTACCCGGAGCCTACAACAACCATCAAGATCCCCTCATCAGGGAAACAGGCAACTATCAAGTCGAAAACATACCACTCAAAGTCAAGGTCAAATTACGTAAACACGCAATAAGCTAATGAACAACCCGAACCAAAACCTTCAGAATCAAACCGTATCGAGGAACCTGCAGGTTATTGTTAATTTTTGAAACTTTTCCTGCAAGCCTAACCTCACCTCATCATGCAAACAAACCACACAAATATCCACAAACTAATAATATCAGTCTTCATGCAGGTTAAAGGGCACTCCAAGCCCAACGTACTGCAAACAAGACATCCTGACTAATTAAATAAAAAAAAAAAAAATAAAGAAAAAAAATCATCTCATACAGTACGCAGCATCAGTCACACAATTCAATCTTGTACATAGTTGTTTAACCTATTCTATTATTTGAAACCTCTCTCCGACGGAAGTAGAAAACCGAACGTGAGAACTATCGGCGCTTCAAAGGGTTAAAACGTTATTTTACGAACGTTGTGTTCCAACATTTTCGCAATCTAGAGGAAGAACTTGGCCTTAAGGATAATTGGAAAAACCGTGTCATTAATATTTATCATCGACCCATTTTCGTATCTTCTAACATGTACAATATATGCAACGCGTGAAGACGCTGATAAAAATTATTTACCAGCCGATAGTCGGTTTCCATTTCGAGCAGATCTTCCTCTTCCTATTCGTTTAAATCGTCACTGCCATTTTATTAAAACTAGTTTTATTGCAATAAGCGTATCGTGTTAAAATAATAAAATTATCCAAACAAATTGACCAAAATCGACGCGTTTTAAGAAAGCGCGAAGAATCAACAGCTCGTTGAACGTTGAAAGATTGCCGATCGTTGGCTTGTCATCGGAGCGAGAATCATTGTTTCTTAATATCAAGGCGATATTTGGGAAAGCGCGAAAGGGTTAGAAAAATTGTGCGCGAACGCGCGGGTCGAAGGAAGTGGAGCGACCGCGTGGAAATTGGAGGAGTTGTGCACGGCTTTCACCGGGTTACGCAAAAATGCCGGGCTGTAACAATAACCGAGCCGAGCGATGCTAATACCCGATCTAGCCCGCGACGAGAAACTGGCTTTTCTCACCTGAGAGAACTCGTCCCACTCGCTTTGCCATGGAAAATAATCGCGTTTTTCTTCGCGAGTTTTCTTCTCGTGTTTTTACCTCCAGCTCAGGAATCGTGGTTTTTGTCAATTTTGTCGGTGCGAGGAAGTTCGTCTCGCCTCAACGTTACCATTATATAGAGTGAGCCAAAAGTTTCGTCCCACCTATTTTTAACGAAACATCAAAATATTCTCCTACACAACATATCAGTATAACAGACATCCAACACGAAATATACCACAAAAAACACAACCGACTCCAAACAATAATATCAAACACCCCCTCCAACATCACACACGCGTACATGATCAAAAACCCTCACACAACTAATACAAAAAGGTCCTAATCACCAACCCAACGCACTAACACTATTGACATGTAACAACCAAACCTATGGACTAAATATGTAAAGCCTATGGTTTAAACCTTTTCTTTTCTTTATTTTTTTTTCTTTTCAATAAATTCAATTCAAATTCACATCAAAATATAAGACAAAACTAATTTTATCAATTTTATTTATTAAATTTAAGTGCAAGCATGACTTTTTCATTCGTGTTTTAAAAATTATTTCTTTCGAATGTTGACCGAGAAAATTTCGGATTTTTTTTTTTTAGTAGGAAATGATTTTTGGCCCACTCTGTATATGTGTTAAATGTATTATTCTTCTCTTACAAGCTTTTGAATTCTTTTGCCCGGCTCGTCGTACGCACCGACCTGCATTTGTTTCGTAATACGAGTTGACTCGCAAAGACCTTCGTACGCAGTTTCGCTAACGCAACGAGTATATTAATACTCGACTCACGCGTCGTTTGAGAAAGGGCAACGTTACCAAAGACACAAAGCTAAACAAATTTCTCGCTAAGTTAATTATCTATCCGCGTCGTGCGGAGAGTAACTGTAATTAAAAAAGTTACGTGAATTCGTAGTATCTTTCTGATTCAGAAACTTCAGATTATTGCATTTGAACAAAAAATGCTCTTTGATTTCTTCAGTGAAAAGTTATTGTATTCTTTTTTCCTCACAGATAATGGCAAACTTCTTAACTTAACCGAAACCTGTTTGAATTTGCAAAACTCGAGAGTATAATGAATTTTCTGTTTTAATTACTTTTACATAAGATGCTCGAAATGACCAGCTTGCATTTGAAGACAAGCCTGCACGCGTCTTGCCTTTCATCTGGTTACTCTCTCTATCATTTCTGGTGTTTCTCGAATTTGTCGGAAGTCTTGCTCTATTCTATTTCGTAGTATTTCAGCATGTTCAATCGATGTTGCGTATACAATAGATTTTAAATGTCCCTACAAATGAAAATCTAATGGATTCGAATCCGGAGAACGAGCAAACCATGCAATAGGACTTCCACGATCAATCCATTTATTTGCAAAGTGTTGATTGAAAAATTGCCTGGCCACTCGGCTAAAATGCGGCGGAGCTCCATCATGCATAAACCGCATACGAATAATCTAATATCGACTGGAACTTTCTCTAATATTTCGTGTAAACGCGTGCTCAAAAAATCAACGTACTTTGTGGCTGTTAGTTTCCCACTAAGAAAAAAAGGTCCGATTAAAAATTTATCAATTATTCCTGCCCATACGTTTAAACTAAACTGGTGTTGATGTCTTGAATGCACAATAACACGTGGGNTTTTCTTCATCCCAATTATGATTATTACGAAAATTGAATATACCATCCCTGATGAAACTAGCTTACTAGAGTTTGCCCTGTTTATAAAATTCATTATATCTCATGAACGAAGACAGATACGACGTATATTTGTATGACTTTTTTTTTTTCATTATTTTTAGGCGTACAATCAGCTCCCGAAGTGGGTACCCACAAGTTACGAAACACCCTGTATAATGGCGCAAAGTTGCCCGATATTCCGGCGCGATAACAGTTCGATTAATTCATGATGCAACGAGTGTCCTCTTTCTTCCCCTCCTCGCGCGATCGTTAACGAGAGAATAACGGCGGTCGGGTTAATTAGCTGGCGGTGTCCTCCAGGCTCGCGTTTCCAGGCGATGGCTGCTTAATTGTTAACGACGAAAACCGCGAATTATGCGATCAACCTGATAAAGATCGGGGCCGTCGAAGCGGCTTAATTGTTTCGCGTAATCCCGTGCTTGCCTCGTTGTTCACACAAACTGCTCGCTGCGCCCGTGTTTCGAACGAATTACCGTCGACACGATTATTGTCGTATTTTTATTTCATTCGTAGTTCTTCAGCCAATAAAATATATCGGGCATAGCGTGCATTTTAACATTATTCGCTATAATAAAGGTCTACTCGGAGAAGACTGAACCGCACGCTATTGATCGAGATCATTTTTCAAGTCCGTTAATCAGTTTTGAAGTTCTGAGTCTCTTTTGAATTTCTTGGCAAGATTTTGACAAGGTCTTAGAATATATTTAATAAATATAAACCTAAACCAAACTTAAATTTTCAAGCCTAACCTTAAATTTTTCAGAGACTAACAATTGTACCTATAGCCGGTCTTTTCCGAAAGATTTCTTGTTACAATAATTTCTTATCGTATAAATATAAAATATTCCACTGTCGAATAGAAGAAAGTGAAACTCGTCTCGATGACCAAAGTTTAACATGTGATTGCTCCAGGATATCGGTAGATAACGTATATATCCGGCGCTCGTAACGAGACTAAAATTTGATTTCAAAAAATAAGTCGCTCGATTTATTCCACACGTTTTTAAATTAATATCTGTCGTATCCATTCGATAGTTTATGTCTGAAACTGACTCGCTACTCGGATTCTGTACCTGGATCACGTCTGAGGGGTGCCGAAATTAGTTTAACAGAGAGGATTGCCCTCACTCGGACGGTCGCTCGACGGCGTATCGTGTACTTGAGTCGAGTAGGACTCGATGGAAACGCTTTCGTTAATTTTCGGCCCCGCTCTTCCGACTCGAGGGGACCGAGTACACACCACGAGAGAAACTGTCGTTGGTAATTGCCGAACGGATGTTGAAGAGAGATCGTTTCGAACGACAGAACGCAAGAACACGTTTTAACCTCTTGCGCACGCACGTCGAGAATCCTTTGCTCCAAAATTGTAATACTTTCCTCAGTTTTAAGTATGTTTAAGTAAAAATAGTCAAAGCAAATAATAAATTTATTACCTGTCAATAATCTTCTATCCAGCGATATCATCACCGACGAGTTCAAAAGGAAAGCGACGAATTATATTGTATATACGGCTTGGTCACTCGTTATGGTCCGCAATCAGTTGCCAGCGCAAGTGGTTAATATCGACGTTACTCCCGTATTAGTAAATTCATCCGTGCATGTACGTTATATTACATTTATGATAATAAACCAGTAGCATACGTTGCGGTAGTAGTTATTCGATATAAGAACTAGTGCAAGTGCAAGTACATTTTTTAATGTATAACGATTTCTAATTATTTAATGTAACAATTATTAAGATCCCCCCTATTATTAAGTTTGAGCTTATGTGACTTGTCATTGATTATGAATGCAGTAGTAGTGTTCGAAATAAGATTAAATTTTATACTTTTTATGACATGTGTGACAATTTTGGCCAAGTTTGGCCAAGAATACACGTAGGACTCGTCGTCGAATGTGTCTCAATTAAAATTACAATTCGCATGAGGAATACGCTTATGAAGGAAAGGGAGACAGTATTAATCGCAGCCTTGCATTTTCCTCTGTTGCAGGTGAGTTAAAGTCCTTGTCCTTGCCACGGGGGTTCCCGCCGGAATTGACAGTGAAGGAGGATGACAAAGGTAAAAAGTAACGAATGCTGCTGATTTGCAGATTTGCAAGCAAGCCTTAACTATACCTTAGCTATAAATATTTTACGTGCGTTCCGCGAGAACGCGTCGGCGCGTTTCCTCGATAATCGCCACTAGACTCAAAGGTTTCGATACCTCGAAGCTTGACGCGTACTCGGATACCATAACCGTGTTTATAAACGCGTTAACCTTGACAACTAATCTGCAAAATATGGCAATTTCCCGGGGAGGGGTTAATTTACAAATCGATCGGCATTTCTTTCGCTGCACTATCAACACATGCCTTTCCTTTTTTCTTTTTTTTTTCGTAAATCCTTTAAAAATCAAAAGTTCGTTTGCAATTATGACTATAGACGAGACTCTCGCGGACACAATATATTATTGGCAATAAACGATGATTGAAACTTGTTTTTACGATCGAACGGGCGCAACTCATTCGTGTCTTACTTGATTTTATTCGTGCTCGTGAGACATTTGAAAGTATCTCGAGCAATTTCACGGCCAACGCGTGGTTGTTATTAGTGGCTGTCTTGTTGGAGGATTCGTTCGAAGTTAATAACCATAAAATTTGTTTATTTCATGCTACATGGGAATTTATTCTTCACGGAAAAATTTGCATACGTTTTACACCGTACAGCTTTTATCTGTTTCATCTGCGAAATTGTCGGCGCGGCGATTAATTATAATTATCAGGAGAAATATCAATTACAATTAATTATCATGTATTTCAGCGTAATTGCTTAATGACACTGCAAATGAATCGCTCAATATTGATCTGATACGTGCGTCGTGCAGATTGAACGGCAAATTAGCAAAACAAATTATTAAAACTTCACGCCGTGACCATTTCACAGGTCAGGAAAGGTCAATCCACAGCGTATGACAATGTACGTACATGTCCTGCAAAGATTTTCAATTTATTCGCTGGTCAGATTCCCAATGAATTTTCAATGATCACGTGAAAGTAACAATAAATACGTGCAACTAGCTAGCAGTTCGTCGAGCAACGTGTTGAAGAATGAAACTTGAGTTTTTTTGTGTATCGTAAATGGCAATTTGTTAAATCTCGCGAGCGAACCAATGACGAGTTCAGATCCATACGATTTTGTTTAACGACCAATGATTACGACTCTTGACGTGCCGATCGCCGAGTTTACGAAATAATGGAGGCCCTTTTCGTTTCTGAAACGCGAGACGATCTCAACTACGCGTAATACCTGTCTCGTATATTGTTACAAACGAATGAAACTGGTTCTAGAATTTGCGCGAGGGAATTTTCGTTCCCTTCTCGGGTTGGGGATCTGTTGAGACAGAGGAAGGGAACTCATATTTTATTTCGACGATTTGTCTCCAACTCTTAGACCTCTTCGTGCGGCTCGTGTTGTAATAAGATTAGAATATTTGTTTAACTTTCACCATGAATAATCATACCTTTTTTATTATATTGTTACCCGTAAGTAATATCGTTTTTCTCAAATTTAATAAACAATAATTTAATTTGTCACAACATAATCTATATTCTAGTTAAATATGTCGACATTCAGTGTATACTTGTTAAATTATATTATACGGATTAAAGCTGTATTAACTCTTAAATAAATGAAATTTTGTTACATTACTTATGGATACGCCTAATAATATAGCTTACATTGAACTATTATATATAAAAAAAACCATGAATGTAAACCATGTGAGATCCTCGACAGACTTTAGCTGGCCAATGAGGCCCAGAAGATTTAAAAAAAGGTTGGATTTACATCCACGCTCTAAACGACGTATAATAAAATCCACGATCTTACGAGTATTTTCTACTTCTTTAGCCAACAGAAGTAGAACCAAAAAAGAAAAAAAAGAAAGTATTTCTTTCCTATTAGTCTCGATATTCCTCGTCATGCCGGCTCGAACGCATTCACGTTCAACTGATTTGCGTAAGGCTGTTGCTTAATTATTCAAATAGGTGCACACGCGGCTGTGATTCCGCCTGCAGCTGCTGTTTGCCGAGGCAAATGAACAGGCCAGCGTGTTTCCGGCTCGGGCGCGTTCGACACACACGCAACGAATAGAAATTCGTGTCTCTCGTTTTCGGCGAATCGCCGCGAGCCACGCTCTTACGATTTTCCCCTCTTTCCCGGTTTCCTTTTTGTCAGTGGCCTGCGGTTATTATTAAATTATCAGGCCTCGAGTTCTCATTCCTCGAGTATTTGCACGCGATCCGCCCGATTCCGCGATTCATTTTACGAACGTCCACGAACGTCGAGCATTCCTCGGCACTTCTTTCTCTAAAGGAGCGTTCCACGATCGTTTGCGCGATCCACGTACCAACAGATCGGTCTCACTCAGAGCACTATTTGTGGATCGAAATTTTGAAGCGCGAAACTTCCTTACGCCGTAACTTCAAATTACGCGTGTCCTCGCGAATGTGTGAAGTTTTGCTGGCGCATACGAAGTGGAGAGAAACTTCCTTGGAAGCTTTTTGTCTTTGTTATTACACCGCCGAGAGAGTCGTCTTCATATGCACTACGTTGGCTATAAAGTAACCGCGAAAATTTTTCATCTTTCGGGCAAATGAATTCGTATCTTTTTCGATTAAAAAAAAAAAAAAAAAAAAAAAAAATTCAAA